TGTTTGTAGAGAATGTATTTTTGCATTGTTGGAGGCTAACATCCAGAAGAGCAGTTTTGGGATGCTTCAGGTACTTCCTAAAAGATTTCCAAATGTATGTAAACATTTCTCAGTCTTACAATAACTCATAAACTGAACACAACAAGTCCAAGATGACAAAAGTTCAAACCCCAATAGATAATTTATCGATACTATTGTGGTCCTGTCTGTATCTATTCACCTTATGAAGCATTACGTCATGTCATAAGCTGTCACCATAGCAACCTGACAGGTACGTTGCTGCTGCAGCCAGACTCAGCTGGACACCTCTGAGCTTCACTTTGATTGGCTGGTTGATGTTTGTTGTTCCCATACTGTACAGGAAGTCTCTGTCGTGGAACACACTGCGTGCCAGGAAGCGCGCTGAAGACAAGGATGCCTTCTCAGTAGGGGTCAAAGGTCAGGAGAATGGCCTTCTCCGTAAGCCCAAAGAAATCACTCCTCCTACCCCGTTCGCCTCGTCCGACCCTGTGGCGAAAGGCAAAGTGAGTAAAGCAGGCCGACGGTGCGCACTGGTGATATTATGTGTGTGCCAAAACCCCTCACCTCCACCGCCCCACTCGGTTTATGTTCTTTGTCCTAACCTCAGTTTGTGTGCATGTGTGCAGAAACCTGTAGACGCACACACGGGTAGTAGATGTGTCTCAGTGGGACTCCAGGAGTGGTTCTCAACCTGCATGACGCATGAATTCAGACTGATTGGTTTTATTTCTTGGGATCACGTCTGTCCTACGGGATTTCTCTATTAAAAACACTTTACTGGCTGCGGCTGATGGAGTTACAGAGTAGCACAATTACTGCCATCGACAAAATGTCGAGCCTTGGATTGTGGGAGAGACTGACTGGGATATTTTGTGGAACAAATGATTGACTCATAATTCAGTCAAAAGACCAGGAGTGACGTACTGTTAAAGATTTTCTTGGAGTGGTAACTGGATATGCAGGAAGCCAAACATATATCACAGGTAAACTGTCAGTCATTTGCAGTATTAAAGAGTTATAAAGAGCTCTAAATATCTATATAGTTATATATATTATATATAAAGCTTTATCATATTCTGCTCTGCACATTAGCATGTTCATTTATGCTACATTACCCAGTATTAGCTTCTAAAAGTTGCTTTAATTCAAGGTTTTTTCCCCCAAATTTGGTGTTATACATAGTCATCCATTCAGAGGCTCAAAACTCATTGGTTAGTTTGAACTGCCAGCAGTTTCATGGCCTTTTGAGGTCTGCAGAATCTTTATTTTGTAACAAAGGAAACTTGAGCTTTTCACTGTGAAAGAGGAAGTTATCATTAGACTGAAAAACTAAACATTTTAAATATAATATAGACATAAAGTATTCAGAATGAGCTCAAACATGTGTAGCAGTAACGTTAATCTGTTAAACACTGATGTGTTGTAAGGTGTTTGTTTCCTAAAGGAAAGGTTTGAAAAATACTTCCACTACTTATTTTTTTCAGCTAATAATAAATATTTTTCTGGTAATATATTTATTTCTTTAACAATAAAAGTAATGATATTTCACAGATCTTGTGTCAGGAAGGAGTGCAGAAAGGTAAGACTGCCCATGTGGAGTACAGATCCAGTTTATCTTGCTAACAAGTGGAGGACGAGATCTTTGCTTGTGGCAGATGGCAAGTTTCCATCTGCACTCCACTGCCCAGAGCAGTGTGTCCACCTCTGTACTCGACCGTGGGGATTGTAAATTCTGAGTTGTAGGGGATCAATTACTTATTTCACTCAGTTACAGATCAATTTATAACTTTTATGTGTTTTTCTGATATTTTGGTTGATATTCTTTCTCTCTCCATTAAAATGAAACTACCATTTAAATTAGAAACCATCCCTTTCTTTGGGAGCAATCTTGCAAAGAAATTCAGCATCATTATTTGGCGAAGTTTATTATCATATTAGGTGTATGAAATCAAGCATCTAGGAAGGTAGACTTTGTAAAAGAATGATCCGCTCTGTAAATTTCAGTGTGCTACAGTGATAGGACACCACCTGTGCAAGAAGTCCAGTCGTGAAATGTTTCCACTATAAAATACTCCACAATTACTGTTAGGACAAAGTGGAGCAATTGGGAACGACGCAAGTTGGTGCGCAATGTAAAATCCCAGAGCAGGGTCAGTGGATGCTGAGGCACATAGTGTGCCAAGGTCAACCACCTTTGGGAAGATGAGGAATAACTCATGATTTGAAGTATATCACATCCTCTGCCATGGTACGGGCAATCTTATGGCATGGACATGATGAAATCTGAAGTGTACAGGGCAATACTCACACAGTGTGACTGACTCAAAGCATACTGCAAAAGCAAACCAAGTTTCTAATTGCACTGAAATGACCTTTAATCGCCAACCCAACCAGATGTTTTTCATTTTAATGAAGGCGAAACTGAAGGCAGAGAAATCCACAATCGAACAGCAACTGCACTAAACACATAGCAGCGTTTGGTGATGTCCAAAAACAATTCTTATATGATTCATTTGGCAACTTAATTTTAAGCCTCTATTTTTTTAATTCCTGGTTTTAGCACAATTGGATACGTCATGTGACACTTTATGTTGCATTTAATGCTCCTCATTCATTTTAAAAAGCTGATCTCCAGTAGTATCAATCAGTGAACAGCTGCAGTTGATCTTGTTGGCAGTGATGTAGGCTGTGGCTGGATATAGACTTCAGCTGTGGTTCAGTGTGTGGTGCTGTGAATACTGTATGTCTATGCAAGACTGTTGGAAGATGCAGTGATTTTATTAAATAATTTTTCTTATTAACATAGTATAATCAAAACAGAGCTGCTGCATGTATATGTATTACAACCATGCAACTTATGCTGCAGCCATAAGAATATCAGCACAGCCAAAATCTTGGCTGCAGTCATAATCACAAATGCAATCTCTTTTTGAGAGACTTAACATATCAGATATACATTGTCTTTTTGTATATATATCTAGCGTTATAATAATCTTATGGAGACAGATACTCTAAGATCCATCCATCGATCTTCTTCCGCTTATCCGAAGCTGGGTCGTGGAGGCAGCAGCCTAAGCAGAGCCCAGGCCTCCTTCTCCCCATCCACCTCCTCTAGCTTCTCCAGGGAACACCAAGGCCTTCCCAGGCCAGCCGAGAGATATAATCTCTCCAGCGTGTCCTGGTTCTGCCCTGGGGGACCGCCTGCTGGTGGGACATGCCCAGAACACCTCACCCAGGAGGCGCCCAGGAAGCATCCTTGTCGGATGCCCGAACCACCTCAGCTGGCTCCTTTCAATGTTGAACACCTCCTGGATGGCCGAACTCCTCACCCTATCAGTAAGGGAGAGGCCATCCACCCTTCGGAGGAAGCTCATTACTGCCACTTTTTTCCGCGATCACATTCTTTTGGTCACTACCCACAGCTCGTGACCATAGGGTGAGGGTAGGGACAGATCGACCGGTAAATTGAGAGCTTCGCTTTTTTCTGCATCACTGCAGCCGCAGCACTAATCACCACCCTGTTGATCTCCCGTCACTCATAAACAAGACCCCGAGATACTTAACCTCCTCCACTCGGGGTAGGAGCTCTTCCCTGACCAGGAGTGGGCACTCCACCCTTTTCCAGCTTAGGACCATGGCCTCACACTGGGAGGTGCTGGTTCTCATTCCCACTGCTTCAGATTCGCCTGTGAACCATTCAAGTGCAAGTTGGAGGCCATCACCCAATGAAGCCAACAAAACCACATCATCTGTGAAAAGCAGAAATGAGATTCTGAGACGACCCAAATGAAAGCCTTCCGCCACTTGGCTCCGCCTAGAAATTCTGTCCATAAAGATTA